TTTAAAAAAAATTCAAAACTTAATTTAAAAATTTAAACAGTGATACTAAAATGAAATAAAAACTAAATTTTAGGTATAATTTTAAAAAATTAAATACTAAAACAAACTAAATTTAATAATTTAAATACTAAACACATAATTTACACTAACTTAAATTGGATCGATTCAAAACTTATCGATTTCAAATAAAAATTAATTTTTTATATTTTCTTATTTAACCGAAGAAATACGATAAAGATATACGTGTGTGTTTTTCTCGTACTTCTCTTTTACCTTCAATAATTTAATACGAATTAAGGGCAATAAATAATAATCAAATAAAGGCTTCCAAAATCCAAATATATTTTCAATTTTTTATTTCTATCACAGTACTATAAAATCACAAAGTAGAATCATTTTCCCCTTCATTACAGCATAAATAATTAGGGAATGAGTTTCTGATACTGCATGCATACACACATAAATGAATATTATATGATTCTTAAATTATCTGTAACTCAAATATTTAAACGATTGACTATTGCATGTTTAAATACTGTTAAACCTACAGGTCTTAGGACTTTGTAATTAGAGACAAAACCATACAACATTTTTGGGTGTAAAACTTGAATTGTAAATTTTATGGGTTTCAAGATTAAATTACAATTTTATTATTAAAAAATGTAAATTATAATTTTATCATGAACTAACTTATAATTATTAATTTAAAGAGACTAAAACATGATTATATTATTTAAAAAGTTTATGGTCCCTACGACTATATAAGGGTCTGTTTGATTTTAAAACTATTTTTATTTTATTTTAAAAAATAATTTTTGTTTTCCATTTTTTAAATTAAAAAAATGATTTGATTAATATAAATAAAAACATGAATTCGAAAATAAAATAGTAAAAATATATTTGATATCTAATTTTTTAAAATACAAATAACAAATGACTACTAAATAATTAAATTAAAATATAATTATTAAAAAATTCATCACATAAATTAACACGTGAGTTATACAAATATTGGACATCAATTAAATTTAAAAAATACATAAAAATATTGTTGTAAGCAAGAACACACAAAAATATATTTAAAATAAAAAATATGTTTATGATATTTAAGGTCCTCAAACTTTTGGGGAAAACTAATGTACTCTTGAACTTTTCTTGGATTAAATGTGACTTTTAAACTGAGACAAAAATCTATCTAATTTTTTAACCAATAGATTGAAACGCTGCTTACATGACAATTCACAAAACTTACATGACAATTTATAATATTAATGTGATATTTCATGATGTTGTTATGGCAGTACATTATTAAAGATGATGTGGTAGATAAACTTAATTGGTTTTTTTTACTAAGTTTGAGGATTTATTTGTTACTATTTATTTTTTAGAAAAATTAAAATATTATTTTAATTTAAAATATAAATATAAAAAAATTATTAAGATATTTAATATATTAAATATAAAAATATTATAAAATTAAATTATTAAAAAAATAGTTTAAGGACCACATTGAGTATAAAAAAAGTTCAAAAACCATATTGATTTTTTGTAAAAGTTTGATTATTTTAGATGCCATTAAATTAACTCATTGTTGTTAGGATGATTTAAACATGTATAAATTAAATTAAAAATCTTGATTTCATGTTTTTATGTTCTCTAATTTTAAAACAATTTTAATGAAAATACTGAAAACATCTTTTTTATGTTTTCATATTTTTCACTTACTTTTTTTATTATTTAGAAATCGTTTTTTAATTTCACAAAAAAAATATGTTATCTTCAACGTTTTCAATTTTCTAAGAAAATAAAAATAGTCTATATTTTCTAGAATAAAACGGACCATAAGTCTCTTAATTTCTCATTTAATTAAAACAACATCAATATTATTTGAATTACAATTCAATAAAAATATGATAAATATCAAATAAAGATAAAAGATTAGACTTAAATTTATTGAAAATCATATTTCTTAAATATAGGTTAAACATATATTACCTTATACTTATTTCAGATTAATAAAAAAATATAAGTTAAACACTTACACTTCGAAAAAATAATAAATTTAAGATCAAAATAAAAAGATTAAACTTATAATTTCATATATTCAAAATCAAAATAGGTTAAAATGTAATTTTATCATATATTATTTTTTAATTTAACGATTTTAAAAATTAAATTATAATTCCATCATTTTAAAAGATTGAAATACAATTTTATAGTGTATTAACTTATAATTATTAATTAAAAATTAAATATAATTACATTATTTTAAGAAAGATCACGGCCGTACAATCATGGAAGTTTCTTAACTTAGCCTTTACTTACAACAACATCAATACTATTTGAATTAAAACTCGATAAAAATATAATAAAGATAAAAAAAAGTTAAACTTAAATTTATTAAAAATCATCTTTTGCGCTTCCTCTAAAACAAATTTGGTAATTTAAATTGGTATTTCTCTTCATATGATTTTTATAATTTTTTTTATATTTTCTACTATTTTTAATTGTTTAATATTTTTCTTTCATTTTCACTATTATTTATTCTTTAATATTTTATGATTTTTGATAAATTATATTTTTTGAATTACATCTTATTATTTTATTAGTTTTGTAAACTTAATATTTTTTTGATAAATTTAGGGTAAATATAAGATAATATATGTTCAAATATTTTCAATCCTTTGACAATAAACACTAATATCCCCGTACTAACAAGTCCCCTAATCACTAGGGTCATTTGGTTCATACATAAACTTACATTTTTTTAATTATTTTTATATATTTTAATAATTTTTATAATTTTAAAAAAATTATTTTATGTTTTATTTATAATATTCAATATTTTTTTCAATATTTAATACGTGACATTTTTTAAAATGCACTAATGCCACCATCTCATTAGTTCAATTTTCAATTAATAATCAAAATTGATTAACTAACGAAATCAAAATCGAAAAAGATCAATTAATTTTTTTAGTAGATGCATTTTGATTTATAAAAATGCAATTAAAAACAATATTTTTAAATAAATATTCACTTAATTTTTATTTTTCATTAACATCTTTTTCAAGCAATAGCAATCATCGTTTTGTCAAATGAGGAAATTTTAAAATAAAGGACAAACATACATTAGAATACTGGGGGAAGAGTCAAAAGTGTTTTTCTTTTTAAATAATTTTTGCTAACAAATGCCTTTCAATACCTTTTAAAGCTATTTAATATATTTTATGATAACAATTTTACTTAACATTTGAAATTGGGTAAAAATATTACTATATTAATAATGTTGATAATCTTCCTTGGCATTTTTTGGTCAGTATATATTTATTTATTTTTAAAAAATAAAATAATTAATAACTCTTTGAACATTCAACTAATCCATTATTGACACTCACATGCCACAAATGTAGCTTTGTATTTGATATTTTGTTTTCATTTAATTTAAAATAAGAAATAAAAAATCAATAATTTTGTTATCCAAAACCTGGCTTGTATAAAGGACTTATTGAAGCCTCAAAGAAGCGAAGTTAGGCCAATGTAAGAGTTGGGCTCAAGTGTCCTATAACCCAAAATATTCGAATTCGATGCGGCGTCCTTGGCTCCTTTCTCATACTGAGAGAATCCAATCTCATGCAAAGTAAGCTTTAAACAAACTTACTTTTTGCTAAAACTGTTAGATTGTTTAATAATGAGTTTCAAAGTTAGGCCAATGTATGAGTATTGCTTCAGTTTTTTCTCTGATTGCTTTCCATCACCGTTTCATTGCTTGTTGTAATGTTCGTCGGTGATTCCTAAAGTACAACAGTCGATTGTCCCTAGAGCTAATAATTCAAGAGTTTTGTTGATCTAAGTTGATGACCCTTTCTTATTTTTCAGTTGATTTTTTGCGGTTGACCTAAGAAGGTGTGGCTTGAGTTTGATACGTGTAAGGTGGTGATATTATTTTTTCACAAGTACTACGACTGTTTATCCAAATGCCTCGGTGAACTTTTGTAAGTCTTGGTTATTCGTTTTCTGCCTTTGGAGTTGTATTGAGTAAGCATTCTTAGAATTAATTAATAGCAGGAATCTGGCGTTCATTTTTATTGTGGTGAATCAAAGGTAGACCTAACCTAAAATTAGTGAAGAGAGGAATAAAGAAAAGGATTATGGTAGGGAAGAAGTAGGATGTGAAATTTAGATTTTGACCTAAGTATTTAATAAATTATTTTTTGAGAAAAATGCAATAGATTATTATTTTTAATCAAGATTTGATTGATTGAGTGTGTGAGTTTTAAAATTAAAGTTATTATTATATTAGAACGTATCACTATTTTTATTATTTTTAACACGGAATAAAAAACAAATTTAAATATAACATTATATCTTGTTTTAAAAAATAATTTGATAATTAAAATAAAATTTTAAAAGTATATGAAGTTTTAAAAAGATAATTTATCTTGATTTTAACAATTAACTTTATGCAACCAATTAATTTTATTAAGCTAACAGTACAGAATAATTAATTCATATAAAATTATACAGTTAATTTTAGTTTTTAAAAATAAATATAATATATAATCTAATAATATTATTTTATAATTTAACTTAAATAATATATTTTACTTTAAATTTTTTAAATAATATATTAAACATATATTTTTTTAAATAATATGTTTTTTAAGTAACATTATTATTTTTAATTTACTCTCAAAATAGTGAAAAAAATTCTAAAATAATTATATGCTAATTTGAAAAATAAAAACTAACCATTCAAAATTTTAATATCAAAATGTAAGATTATATATTTATCAACGGATCAAGACATTACACATCTAATTTTTATTATTAACTATTTAATGTTTTAAATATTAAATCTTAAAATTTATATATTTTTATTTCAGTTCTATCTATAATCTCCCCATTTCCAATGCTTTCATTTCTTAAACCATTTGTTGGTTCCACTTCAATTTACAAAATGAAAACAAAGATATAGTGATCGACAATTATCCTTTACATTAGTCATTGGCCATTGCCATTGCCATTGCTTCTATGTCTGGAACCAGAAGACGATAATGTTGTTCATGAGTTGGAACTTGATGCAAGAAATGAGGAGCGCAAAACATGCCTCCCCACCGAGGAAAGTAGATTAAGGTGATGGGAAGTGAGCAAACGATCATCATAAGCCCCATTATGGAAATGCCTGTTTGAGTCGAAAATTTATCCCCCGAAAACAACAGCGTTTGTGTCACAACTGCCCCCAGTGTCCCTCCACTCCCCGTCATCCCCGATATCACTCCCAGTGACCTGCAAAAACATCCTCAACTCCAATTTCAGTTGATTTTTGGACATGAGTAATATGTTTTCAAAACTACTGTTTTAATCGTATTTAAGAACCGGCACAGAGGACCAACTTATAAAATTTAACAACTTAAAACACATTCTCGTCAATTCATCTCTGATCGTACCTTTTGGAAACGAAAGGAACAATGCCAAACGTGAGTCCGGAAGAAGCTTGAACGAACACAGAGAATACACACATCAAGGCAATGGAACCACCTAACGAGTCAACTCGTCCCATCGAAACACAAAGCAAACCCGCCACCGTCTGGACCACCCACAAACCCCAAAGCCTGCCTCTGATCCCGAACCACTTTGCCATCCAATCCGAAACCACCCCGCCCATCGGCCGAGCGAAAATGTTCGTCAACCCGAAGCAAGCCGCTATCGTTCCGGCAACCTCTAAATTCACTCCAAATATATAGTAAAAATACTGAGCAATGATATTATCCATTGTCATCTCCACCCCAAAAGAGAAAGCGTATATTAAGCCTAATATCCACCCTCTATAGTTCATCAATCCACTAAAAAGAACTTCCAGAAAACTCTCATTTGGCTTGCTGGAAACCTTTTTCGAATTCTCATGGTTCTCACGTGGGAGTTCTTGGCCGTAAACTAAGACCAGTACCGCTGTTATAGCTTGGAAAGTCGCCGGAACGACGAAAACGACCCGCCATGCGGTGTTTTCCGGCACGTTAAAGGATTTCACGAGGGAAAACAAGAGGGGCATGATTAACTGAGCAACGCCGGCTCCCATGCTAGCCCAACTGGCAGCGAAACCGTTGGCGAGACCGACGACTGAGGTGGAGAACTTTGAGCTCATCCAGAACTGGTTGGCCACGAAGTTTCCTAAACAAAAACCGACGAGGAACCGTACCAGGATGAAAGAAGTTGGTGATGAAATGAAAGCGGTGGCTAAAACAATAGGAGCAATAAGGAGGGAGAGAGTGGCGGAAGCGACACGTGGGCCGACGAGGTCGCAAACGGGTCCCATGGCTAGGCGGGAGAAGATGGAGCTGACGAAAGCTGCTGTACCGGCAGCGTCGACGTCGGCGGCGGAGAGATTCAGGTTTCGGCGGATGACTGGAATAAGGGGAGGGATTGAAAAGGTTGAAAAGAAACAAGAGAACAACGACAGCCATGCGAGGTGGAAGGCAAGCATGTGAGGCGGTGAAGTGGAGAAAGGGTGAAATTCAGTGGTTCTGTTGTTTCTTGGAGAAGAAGGTTCCATTGAAGGAGCTTCTGGTGTATCCAGAGTTCGATATCAACGCCTCAAAGTCTTACAGTTTTTAACGTCGAGGAAAGGAAATTAGGATCATCATTGAATTTAAATTTATAGTTGTTTTTAGTATTATGGTCTAATTGAGATTCTCTTGCCTAAACGACAATGAACAAGTTTATCAGCTCATTGTTTTTCTTATTCGTTATATAAACACATTGATATTGTGTTCTTTTCAAATTTTGTTTCTTTTTGTCCAGTTTTTTAAAATATAATAAAATAATATTTATCATAAATCTTACTCTATTCTTGACGATTTTTAATAATGTATCGAATGAATATAAGATATTAGTATGTATGCTTTAGTAAAATTTTCAATTATGTGATAATGATGGTTCATATATTTATGTAAATATGATATTTGAATTTAAAATTTTAAGAGATAATTTCTTGATAACAAAAGTTACTTAATTATTATAGATTTGTTAGAATTTTAAATAAGTTAATTATTACAGATATGTTAAAATTTTAAATACAAATGCAGTAATATACTTTTATTTCTTTATTTCGAATATAATATGATCTAATATCACATGTGCCCCCAAAAAGTAATTTATGTTTTTGCAAATTAATTTCGTTATTTCGTACGGTGGATATATAACGCTTCGAAAAGACATGTGGTGTGCATCAATTTCAGGCTAAAAGTAAAAGACAGTGACAAAGTCTATTTTGATTTCAGGGAAGCAGACAATACTGTTGAATTCGTTCGATTTCCCGTCTAAATGATGAACAATGCATTAGTACTTTCGAAGTTACGATTTCAATATCTAACTAGGATAGAGTAAGAAATGTTACCGTGTGATTGTATTCTTAAAATTTTTAAAATTTATATAATTTAAATAATTTTTTTATATTTTATAGTGGTGTTTTAGTTTCATTTTTCTTTAATTTTTTAATTTTATATTCTTAAATTTTTAATATAATTTTTTAAATTTACATTTTTAACCTAAAAGCACATGTCAATTTCTTCATCAAACTACAAATTATTAAAAAATTGATATGATATAACAAAATTTGATAATTTTGAGAAACTATAAAACGATTAAAATGTGATAAAAATATAATAGATTTTATATAATAAAAATGGTTGATCTATTTCATTTATAAGTATTTTTATAATTTATATTTATATAAAATATTCAATATATTTTGGTGTAACTTAATTAAGTCACATCTATTTATTTGAAAATATACTTAGAAGTATGTTATATACTATTAAGTATTTATATATTATTAAGGGTTAAAACATTATCTTCGTCGAATAATTACATCTGTGCATATCCAAAACGAACGCAGTCAAACATCACAATCATTACGTCAAGCTATACACAATTCCCACAGCCACCTTGTGAACCAACATCAATGCCATTATAGGATGATGCCTCGGAGACTCTTTGGTTGGTTATAAGAGACTTTATTGAGATTTTATTTTCTACTAAATAGAAGGGGTTCAGAACATAATGTATGACAAATGGATGGCTTTTGTGTTGCTCTTTTGGATTGCGAGCTAGAGGATATTGGATACAGTGGAACTTGGTACACTTGGAAGCGAGTGCAGAGAGTGGAAACTAATATTCAGGAGCGATTCGACAGAGGTTTGTCCAATTCAGGATGGTGGGATCTTTTTCACTTTTCTCATTATCGCATTTGGCACACTCTATGTCTGATCATTCTCCTTTACTTTTGAACACTATGCCGTCAACTAATCAGAGTAAATAGTGGCATTTTTGTTTTGAGGCTTCTTGGCTACTGGGAGATTCTTGTGAGTCGGAAGTTCGCAAGCCTTGGGAGTTATCCTTTGGGTCAGTTCTTGATCAATTCGGTGTTGTTCGGGAGGGTCTTAAGATGTGGTTCAAACAAATTAGGAAGGATAAGGGACTGACGGAGGTTGATCTTAGGAAAAGACTCCGGAGTTGATAGAGATGTCCTCTGTGTTGGGGAAAAAGTTATTTCCCACACGAACGTAGTTTTAAAATTGACCTAAAATGTCAAGATTAAAACCACCAAAGGTTGCACATCGGATAAACCTGTCAAACTATTGAATATTGAAACACAATGGAAAAGAACCGAATAAAAAACAATAAAGGAGAGAACACACCAAATTTACGAGGTTCGACGAGAATATCGTCTACTCCTCGGGCACCATACCGGATGATAACTTCACTATATCGCCAATATTACAACAAATGGAACTCTTTAGAATTCCCAAAGTGGGAGAATGAAGAATACAAGAGGAAGAGAGAACTTGTTTTTTGGATGATTTCTAATGGAAATACTTAGGCCTATTTATAGTTGAGTTTCAAGAACAATATGTTCAAAGTTTGGCCACCTACCAAAGAATTTTCCAATGTGTACAAGTTAACCACCAAATATGAAATTCACATGTTCAAAATTTGGCCACCAACCAAGATGAAATTTCCAACTTGTCAACTTAATTTCTAGACAAATCTAACAAATCTCCACCTTGGCTTGAAATTACCAAGCCTACTCAACTTCTTCAACTCCCCAAATTTATAGTGCCTCTAATTGCGCTCACAAGCGCCACACACCCGAAGGTGTTCATACTTTCAGTATGTTAATCAAGTTCAAACAATGATTGAACTTGATTACTGTTACCACCTTGGTCATCATATCTGCAGGATTTTCTGATGTCGCAATTTTCTGAAGTAGAATCTTTCATTCTTCAAAGATCTCCCGCACAAAGTGATACCTCACGTCGATATGCTTAGTCCTTGAATGGTAGACTTGATTTTTCGCTAAGTGAATAGCGCTCTGACTGTCACAATAGAGACTAATGTGACTTTGAACAACTCCCAAGTCTTCCATCAAACCGTTAAGCCAAATTGCTTCCTTTACAGCCTCTGAAACTGCCATGTATTCTGCCTCTGTAGTAGACAAGGCCACCGTAGATTGCAATGTAGACTTCCAACTTACTGGGGCTTTAGCAAGAGTAAATTAAATACCCAGTAGTTGATCGACGCTTATCCAAATCACCAGCATAATCGGAATCAACATATCCAACCATACACTGACCAAGTGCTTCATCCTGTTCAAAAACTAAACCAACATCCACGGTTTTTTGGAGATACCGTATAATCCATTTGACAGCTTGCCAATGTCATTCTCCAGGATCATGCATGTACCTACTCACAACTCCAACTGCTTGTGAAATGTCAGGACGCGTACACACCATTGCATACATCAAGCTCCCAACTGCATTAACATATGAAACTTTTGCTATATACACTCGTTCTTCGTTAGTTTTAGGAGATAATTGAGAACTAAGTTTCAAATGAGAAGCCAATGGGATACTTACATGTTTGGTATTTTCATTCATGCAAAAACATTGTAATACCTTTCTCAGATACTGCTTCTGTGTTAAACAAAGCTTCCCTCTCTTTCTATCTCTGCTTATCTCCATACCAAGAATCTTCTTGGCCTCACCTAGATCTTTCATCTCAAACTCTTGATTCAACTGAGCCTTTAATTTGTCTATCTCCTTTGACTCTTCAAGCGATCAACATATCGTCAACGTACAAGAGAAAATAAATGAAAGATCCATCTTTGAGCTTTTGCAAATACACACAATGATCATATTTGCTTCTAGTATACTTTTGCCTCCTCATAAAGCTATCAAATCGCTTGTACCACTGCCTCGGAGATTGCTTCAATCCATATAGCGATTTGTTCAGCTTACAAACCCATTTCTCACGACCACCATCTTTGTATCCTTCTGGCTGTGTCATATAGATCTCCTCTTCTAAATCACCGTGCAAGAAAGCCGTCTTTACATCAAGTTGAGCTAGCTCTTAAATTCAACTGTGCTACCAAGGCCAACAATATTCTAATGGAGGAATGCTTCACAACAGGGGAAAATACTTCATTGTAGTCGATTCCCTCCTTTTGAGCGTAGCCTTTAGCTACCAACCGTGCCTTGTAGCGAACATCTTTCTTGTTATGAGATCCATCTTTCTTTACAAATACCCACTTGCATCCAATGGCTCTTTTACCTTTCGGTAATTGTGCCAGTTTCCAAGTGTCGTTTTTTTGGAGAGATTGCATTTCTTCATCCATGACACTTTTCCACTTATCACTTTCCAAGCTTTGTATTGCTTCTTGGTAAGTGATAGGGATATCATCATCAACAACTGGAAGAGTATAGGCCACCATATCAACAAATCAAGCAGGTCTACGAATTTCTCTCCTTGACCTTGTAACTGCAAGTGTTTCTGGTGTCTCCAATGGTTCTTGGGTTTGAACCTCTTCATCTTTTGATTCTTCTATTGGAGTTGAAGAATCAGCTGCATCAACTTCGGGGATCATCATCTGCTGAAACTCTACCTGTTTTGGAGTATGCTCCACCTGCTGCGGAGTACTATTTGTCTGGAGAGCTTCACTTGTTACCTTCTTTACTAGGGCATATTCATCAAAGGTAACATCTCTGCTACAAATTATCTTCTTGGTGTCTAAACACCAAAGGCGGAATCCCTTCACTCCATGGGTGATTCCCATAAAGAGAGCTTTCTTTGCTCTCGGATCAAGCTTGGATTTCTTCACATGATAATAAGCAGTGGATCCAAATACATGTAAGGAATCATAATCAGTAGCAGGTTTTCCAGACCATACCTCCAATGGTGTTTTTCCTCCTATCGTTGATGACGGCAGACGATTAATGAGATGACCAGCATATGTCACAGCCTCAGCCCAAAATGCCTTGCCTAACCCAGCATTAGACAACATACATCGAACTTTCTCTAATAGTGTTCGATTCATACGCTCTGCCACCCCATTCTGTTGTGGTGTATGTCTAACAGTGAAGTGTCGAACAATACCATACTCATGGAAAACGTCAAAGAATGGGTCACTTTTATATTCCCCTCCATTGTCCGTCCTAAGACGTTTGATCTTTCTACCAGTCTGGTTCTCGATCATATTTTTCCATTTCAGGAAAA